ACATTATCAACTAAAGATTCATATTAAAATGTTATACGATATTCAGGATAGATCTGAGAATCATAGAATATAACATAATCAACTAAAGATTCATATTAAAATGTTATAAGATATTCAGGATAGATCTGAGAATCATAGAATATAACATACATTGATGGTTTATTAACATTATCAACTAAAGATTCATATTAAAATGTTATACGATATTCAGGATAGATCTGAGAATCATGAAATATAACATACATTGATGGTTTATTAACATTATCAACTAAAGATTCATATTAAAATGTTATACGATATTCAGGATAGATCTGAGAATCATAGAATATAACATACATTGATGGTTTATTAACATTATCAACTAAAGATTCATATTAAAATGTTATAAGATATTCAGGATAGGCCTGAGAATCATGAAATATAACATACATTGATGGTTTATTAACATTATCAACTAAAGATTCATATTAAAATGTTATAAGATATTCAGGATAGATCTGAGAATCATGAAATATAACATACATTGATGGTTTATTAACATTATCAACTAAAGATTCATATCAAAATGTTATACAATATTCAGGATAGATCTGAGAATCATGAAATATAACATACATTGATGGTTTATTAACATTATCAACTAAAGATTCATATTCAAATGTTATACGATATTCAGGATAGATCTGAGAATCATAGAATATAACATACATTGATGGTTTATTAACATTATCAACTAAAGATTCATATTAAAATGTTATAAGATATTCAGGATAGATCTGAGAATCATAGAATATAACATACATTGATGGTTTATTAACATTATCAACTAAAGATTCATATTTAAATGTTATACGATATTCAGGATAGATCAGAATCATGAAATATAACATACATTGATGGTTTATTAACATTATCAACTAAAGATTCATATTAAAATGTTATAAGATATTCAGGATAGATCTGAGAATCATGAAATATAACATACATTGATGGTTTATTAACATTATCAACTAAAGATTCATAAACACTAAATGTTCCTGGTTTTGATGGTGGAACTCTATATGAACTGTTTCCTCGTGTATATTGACCCACCAATACTTTACACTGGTACATCTGCCCTTGTCCTGGTCGTCCACTGGCATATCCAACAGAATAAGAGGATGAAACTGCAAAATAAACTCCTTGTCCATATAAAGTGGCTACAAAAAACAAATCGAGATAACATGTTACCAATTTATCATCATTGTATCATAGTGTATCACATCTTACTTTTACATCTACTCTTGGTAGGGCTTATCCTTGCAGTATACAATAAGGGAACTTTGTCGGGACTGAGTTATTTTCTGTTTCAGAGATCTTGGTTTATTGTTCTATCTGACAGACGAAATTCTTTTTCAGTGTCAAGTTCTTTAAACTGTATCACTGGCAGAATCAAAATGTAAAATGTTTCTTATTTGGTGTTACATTCTTTGGAATATTGATCTCCAAGGCCCTATTCCACAAAAAATATTAAGATTAATTTTGTTCAACTATAGTTTTTCTAAACGTAAAATTCGACTCTTACGACAAATTCTCATTGTTAAAATATTTGTGGAACGGGCTCCTTATCACTAAATAGAAAAAAACGAAATTAACATCAAACGCGACTGACCGTTTTTACCACAATAACTTCTATTAAAACCATAGTGATTGATATTAAGAACAGCGTGTTGATCAGTACCATGCCATAGTACAGGTTGTTCTACTGTTACACACGCGTGTCTTAATTCCAATTCCATATGTTTTTTTTGACCATATATTGTTGATAAACTGAACGATTTTCTATTCTTTCAATCTGTAAATACATAATTCATCATAAACATAAACATCCTGTATTCAATATATTGTCTTTAAAGGAGCATTCTGAGTTGTAAAAATTTTCTTACTCAAATTTGTGAAAAGTATACATCAAAATCTAGAAAAATATGGCCCTTAACATATCTTAAAGTCTAAACTTTAACGATCATTTTAGAACTCCAAAACTAGTTATGATGTTTACATAAATTTACATCACTATGTTTTTATATTGGTGTTATAATATTACGGTACATAAAAATAAAACGACGAGTCGAATTATGATAAAGGAAAAAAGTCGATACAATAAGTGTAAATGTGGCTACGTTTCGGGACTAATCCCTTTATCAAGTCTATTCTATTACTGTCTATTCTATGACTGTCTATTCTATTACTGTCTATTCTATGACAGTCTACTCTATGACAGTCTATTCTATGACAGTCTATTCTATGACAGTCTATTCTATGACAGTCTACTCTATGACAGTCTATTCTATAACATTCTATAACAGTCTATTCCCTGACAGTATATTCTATGGCAGTCTATTCTATGACAGTCTATTCTATGGCAGTCTATTCTATGACAGTCTATTCTATGATGGTCTATTCTATGACAGTCTATTCCCTGACAGTCTTTTCCCTGACAGTATATTATATGACTGTCTATTCTATGACAGTCTACTCTATGACAGTCTACTCTATGGCAGTCTATTCTATGACAGTCTATTCTATGACAGTCTATTCTATGACAGTCTATTCTATGACAGTCTATTCCCTGACAGTATATTATATGACTGTCTATTCTATGACAGTCTATTCTATGACAGTCTATTCTATGACAGTCTATTCCCTGACAGTATATTCTATGGCAGTCTATTCTATGACAGTTTATTCTATGACAGTCTATTCCATGACAGTCTATTCTATGACAGATTATTCTATGACAGACTATTCTATGACAGTCTATTCCCTGACAGTATATTCTATGGCAGTCTATTCCCTGACAGTATATTCTATGGCAGTCTATTCTATGACAGTCTATTCCCTGACAGTATATTCTATGGCAGTCTATTCCCTGACAGTATATTCTATGGCAGTCTATTCTATGACTGTCTATTCTATGACAGTCTACTCTATGACAGTCTACTCTATGACAGTCTACTCTATGACAGTCTAATCTATAACAGTCTATTCCCTGACAGTATATTATATGACTGTCTATTCTATGACAGTCTATTCTATGACAGTCTATTCCCTGACAGTATATTCTATGGCAGTCTATTCTATGACAGTCTATTCTATGACAGTCTATTCTATGACAGTCTATTCTATGACAGATTATTCTATGACAGACTATTCTATGACAGTCTATTCCCTGACAGTCTATTCTATGGCAGTCTATTCTATGACTGTCTATTCTATGACAGTCTACTCTATGACAGTCTACTCTATGACAGTCTATTCTATGACAGTCTATTCCCTGACAGTATATTATATGACTGTCTATTCTATGGCAGTCTATTCTATGACAGTCTATTCTATGACAGTCTATTCTATGACAGTCTATTCTATGACAGA